GAGAGGAGAGGAGAGGAGAGGAGAGGAGAGGAGAGGAGAGGAGAGGAGAGGATTGAAGGGATGTACAGCAATCCTATAGTCCAGCTGCCTGATTTGTTCAGGGCTGACTAAAATTTGAAGTATGTTCTTAAGAGAATTATCCAAATGCAATTGTTGGGGCACTGACCACTTCTCTAGGAAGTGTGTAACAGGGTTTGGCCAACCTCTCAGTACATAAATACTTCCTAATATCCAGTCTCCCCTGGGAGAGCCTTGAACCCTTTCCATGCATTCTAGTGCTGGACACTAGGAAAAGGAGATCAGCACCTCCCTCTCCACTTCACCTCCTGAGGAAGCTGTAGAGAGCTGTAGGAGCTGTAAGGTCAGCCCTCAGCCTCCTCTTCTAGAAAACCCCATAGGACATTCCTCAGCCACTCCTCACAGGACATTCCTTCCAGGTCTTTCCCCAGCTTTGTTGCCATCCCCTGGGCACATTCAAGTACCTTCACATCCATCTTAAATTATGGGGTTCAGAACTGCTCACAGCATTCCAGGTGAGGCTGCACTGATGTTGAATCCAGCAAGATAATCACCTCTTTGGACCAACTGATTGTGACGTTTTTGATACATCCCAGGATGTGGTTTTCCCTCCTGGCTTCCAGGTCACACTGCTGGTTCCTATTGAGCTGCTGTCGATCAGCTTACTCGTTTATTGTCAAACAATATCTGTTCCATGATCAGGTAGGTACTCATTCAGCACAGCCTCATGCACTAGCAGCCAGCAAGTCCTATAATGTGGGGGTTTCTGAGGCAGACATGGGCTAAACTCTGTCACATACTGCCAGATGGACATATGTGAATATAGTCATACATGTCTGAATGCTTTGATCTGCTGTTGTATGTATTTTAAAAGGTGTCTTTGTTTAAAAATAAAACCAGAAAATAATTAGACTTTCTTTGAAAATATTTTCTTCCAGACAGCATGGTAAAACCAGAAATCTTGATGTTGAAATCTTTTCTGGGGTTTTGTTTTCTCCCACAGGTGCTTTTGGAAAGAGGACTCAGAACTAATGCAGTTAGTTATTCAGAAACCCACTCTAAGTAAGTACTATCTTTGAATGAGCATTATGTAGTCGCAGTGTTGACATATTGAAGTGTTTGGTCAAATGTCCACCAGATGTCAGTACATACTTGCACAATCACAGGCTGTGGAACAGATGTTTGACACAAATCTAGTCGATACAAGGTCCAGAAGTGCAGTGTTGCATATCACTGATGCTAAAAAAAAAAAAAAAATGTGCAAATTAGACATCCTTATACTTTCTAAATGACAGATTAAAAAATAGAATTGTGATTCTGAATTTTTCTATATCAAGCACTGTGGCTGCTACCTAGCTACAACTGCTCTGAGTTTTCATTTCTGAAAACAGAAACTATGTGGCAGAGAACTGACCTGTAGATATCGTAGCTGTTCATATTCTTAAATATGAGAGAATAGGAAAGAAAGAACTAGACTTCTTCAATCATAATAAATAAAGACTAAGGAATAATTTTATGGTTGCCTTCAAATATCTATATTGCCTTATAGGATGGAAGAAGCCAGACTGTTCTTGGACAAGTTCATCTATAAGGTGTAGGACAATAGATACCAGTTGCAATAAGGAAAATCATGATTTGTCAGGAAAAAAACCCAAAACCTACAACTGGGCCACACAATGCTTGTTGAATCTGTCTTTGGATATTCAAAAATCAATCAAAGAAGATAATAAGCAGCATCATCAAACTTTGAAGTTAGATCCAGCTTCAAAGTTGGTGTGACAGGGTTTGGATCAGGTGGGCTCCAGAGGTCCTCTCCAATCTATTTTCTGGTTTTATTTCAGTGGTATTTCAGAAGCAGGAAACCTAAAGGTACGAAAAATCTCATTAGGCTCCACTCTGTTGTCAGACTTTTTCTTTTTTTAAGATAGCTTATGGAAATCAGCCTCCTGACTACAACAGTCAGCTGTCTTTCCTATGAGACAGTTGGCAGCTGCACTGAGATGCCTCAGTGATTTTTTGTATTTTTTGCATGAAGCATCTCCATGTACAAAATTCATTATCATTAAAACTCTCCTCAATGACAGTTTAGTTTTTGAATGTTGTCATTTGATGCCATATCATTATAACTCTGACAAGTTTTATTTCCTGACATAGTATTAAATGCTCCACCTAAGTCCAGTGATTTTTGGTAATAGCTTAAGTTAGGAAGTGTTTGCATTGTTAGAAGAGTTTAATAAAATGCATTGCAACACCACCAAAATAGAAACAAAGGGGGCCTAAAGTTAATGTCTAACTTAAAGAGGTATTTTCTGAGTTCAATAAGAACAATTAAAAAATATTTTTATTGAGAATTACTCTCATTAATCTAATATAATCTCTGTAATCAAATATATTTTCTTCTGAAAAATCTATGAACATATTACAGAATAATTGCATTCCCTTTCATTTTTTCTGCAAAGCTACTTTTAAAAATTCTTCAAATAAAAAATTGAAATTTTCAATACATAATTACTTTCTCATAATTTTTCAAATTCTTTGAATTATAGATCCCTGTCATCCTCAATAATATTATAATATCTAGCATACAAACTAAGACAAATTACTTCTCATGGCTTTAAAAACAGTGGTGCAAGTCCCAACAAGTTTGATAACAACATTTGCCTTGGTTACAGCATGGTACTACAAGTTCCAAGGTTGGGTGTTTGATCCCTGTATGGATCATGCACTTAAGAGCTGGACTTGATGATACTTGTGGGTCCCTTCCAACTCAGAATATTCTCTGATTGTAACATTCCTATTGCTTCCAGTTTGCCTTTTGTTTATTTTTGTGAATAAATGTTTCATGCTATGCCTAAGATAATACTGCTGTTTTACTCACAATATTAATCAAAACCTTACACAACCTAAGACCTAATACACAACACTTAACTGAAATGTAGAGGAAACCTAAAGTATTTTCTTCTGGAAGGAAATTAAAATTGTGTTTCATATACTATTTCTGAAATAATAATGTAATTTTCTTGATTTCCTGTTTTCTGATAATGATCCCTAGAGGCACAAAGAGATGTCCAGAGGCATAGGGCTGCTCAGCACAGCAGTTAAAAAGTTTAATACTGGCTGACAACAGAGTGTGTTGTACTCCAGGGATGTATTGATATAGCATCTACAGGCTTTTCTTGGCAAGCCTTGGCAAAAATTAGAGGTGTGAGGATAGTGTCCTGACAAAACCAGAATCTACTTCCCCACAGTATGGGTCTCCACTGGTGCTGTATAAGATGACAGCCATTTTACCTCTTTATCATGTTATTCTCTTTCT